CTATCGTAAATGATTACACCTGGCCCGCTCAGCACGTGCTCATTGACTTTTGACTTAACACCAATGGACTTCGTACCCTAGCGACATATCCTTTCGCAAGCCAATGTAAACACGCCCATTAACCAGCAACTAGAGTGCAGTTGGGCTTCTTCATCCATTTCTATTCGTACATTCATCCATTCATCCATTCATTCTCTATCAACAACCTCTACACTTATTATTATAGATCATTTCTCATTTGGAGCATCCAATTGAGCATTGGGGCACACTTTCTTTTGTTTGAGTAGTTTATATTTATGACATCGATACTGGTAAGAGCAACAAAAAAACAATCTCTGGAGCAGTGCTTCAATCGCTTTCTCACAATTCATTTCATTTTCGAAAAAAGCGAAAAGTGTTCTTACTATGCGTCGTTTCTTGTTCAGCAATCGCGAGGTTGTTAAACAGCATACATTTACTTCCATAGAAAAACCCAATGCAATACAACGCTAGCTGACGTTTCGGCAGTATCGCCTTCTTCAGAGCCTGGAAGGGTTTACTGATATGCAATCTACTAGGCCAAACGCTTCAATAACACTTACACAAAGACGAAAGACTCTTTGGTAACTACACGATCAACAACTTCTCGAAAGAAGACCCACCGCTTTTTCGTGACTTTCAATGAGGAAGTTTAGAACAGCTGATTATAGTCGCATGTGGTTGACGACTGCACCATCCACCGCTTTTTCGTGACTTCCAATGAGGAGGTTTAGAACAGCTGATTATAGTCGCATGTGGTTTGATGACTGCACCATCCCAAATCAGACGTTGATGCGAACATACGGGATCAGGTCGCGTATGACCTCCGGGCATTCATCCCTGCTATTCATTGTAGGGTTTTTGGCATTTATCCAAAAAGCTAGCAGTTTTCGCGCTGGTGTTTTGGACTCCTGTGCCAGGATATTGACTTTTACTTCAAAATCGTCTCCGCTATGCTTTTGTATCCTATTCGTGCCTAGTGGGGTGCTTACTTTTAGTTTTCGTTTGTCATCTAGGTGTTCTTTTATACGGATATTCATCTCCACAATTATTACCAGAGATCAGGTATATCGTACCTGGACTCATGCAATCACCGTCCCTGCCGTAAGGGCAAATTACGCAATTTGTTGTTTCATATAGACGGTCATACAAGTGTAATAGCTACGCTTACTTCATTGCTAATACAAGGCAACATAAACGAGACTTTCTTTTGGTCAAGTGTTTCGATTGGGCGCGTCGCTCTCCTTCTAAACTTATCTCATGGGGTTACTATTTCATAGCCACTGGAGATGGCTATTTGCTGAGCCAAGTCGCGCGATTCTTCCTTTAGTTCCCTGGTTGTGCACACAGAGGTGACTGTTCGAAACATGTTTCTCACAATCGCCCTCTTTGTGTGTGAAGGGTGGGAAGAAAGGAAATGAACGAGTACCTTCCAATAACCTTACAGCATGGACGAATGCCCGGAGGTTATACGCGACCTGACCCCGTATGTTCGCATCCATTTCTGATGTGGGATGGTGCAGTCGTCAACTACATGCGACTATAATCAGCTGTTCTAAACTTCCTCATTGGAAGTCACGAAAAAGCGGTGGGTTTTTCGAGAAGTTGTTGATCGTGTGGTTACCAAAGAGTCTTTCGTCTTTGTGTAAGCGTTATTGAAGCGTTTGGCCTAGTAGATTGTATATCAGCATACCCTTCCAGGCTCTGAAGAAGGCGATACTGCCGAAATGTCAGCTAGCGTTGTCTTGTATTGTGTTTTTCTATGGAAGTAAATGTATGCTGTTTAAAACTTCGCGATTGCTGAACAAGAAAACGACACATTCATATTCCAATGCCGAGGTTAAGAGAAAGTCGATCTTGAGAACTGTTTTTACTATTTCGATACATAACTGTGCCGGACGACAATTTTCAAACGTCACACACTTCTACTCCTGGAGCGCGCTTTTCTCCCAGGAGACTTCTTGGCACTTCCATCCACCTCACGTCCGTTCGTTGCGCCTCTTCTATTTCTATTCTTCTTCTTCTTCTTCGACTTCTCTGTCTCTTTCATTCAGTACTGTAACGAGTTCCTGTTATTTCTTTTGTGAAATCAACCATATAACGTTCTGCTGTTTGGAAGAATTCATCCGGTTTCTTCTAACTTCTGATCGATCTCTGTTGAACTGTTTTTGGTTTATCCAAGTCACCTTATTTTCCTTTCTCACCAAAGTTAATTCTCTTGTACTTTTTCTTTATAGAATCGAAGATGATGTTCGAAATCGAAGATGAGTTAATTGATCCTTTGGAATCGTCCGAGTCAGCTTCCGCAAAAGTTGATGGGAGTCAGTATCGATTTCCCAATGACGACTCGAATTCCTTCAACTCGCTTCGCATTGAAATCGACGGGCAGCACAGTATTCCTCTATCTACCGAAGTGCAGGTATGTGAGGTTTTGTGGGTATGAAACAATCAGACAACTTTTTGGTAAATACGTGCTTACATGGATAATTGGATCGTCCGTTTTCACTGATTGTGCAGGCCCAGCACTATTTCCATTCTCCAAGGATTTGCTAGTTTAGCCATTGTGGTTCCCTGGAGTCTCGAGGTCAGCCTAGCCAAGGTCTACTCATGTCACCACCACAGAAAGTCGCCACCCTTATAAATCAGAGAGATATTTGCCACCATACGACTAGTTTGATATCCGAACGGTGTTGGATCCTGGCATTGATTTACTATTAGCTGAGCTTCCCGATGATAATGTCGGACTCTTTCTCAGCTTTGGCGAAACTACTGTGTGGATGAATTCTCCCGCTGTACATCGCAGTCCAACACCCATGGACATCACCCAACCCCAATGAGGGGGTAAACCGTTGTCATTATTAGCGATGATATTAATCTATATAGAAAGTTCCTCTATTTGCTGTTGCAAGCAATTTCTTCAATCGGTTATGGGACATGCTATAGTAAGCCTACACGTTCTGATGAATTCAAGCTTCTGTGAAGGTTTGTAGCAGTTGCAGAATTTGAAAAGATGGAGTTTCCATCATCGATCAGAAGACCATTGTTTGAAGTAGTACAGTGGCTGAATTCTGCTTTTTACCACTCTCACGTCGACAGTCTAATACCAGAATTCGTTGCCAGCAGAGAAATAGCTGTCGTATTGGACGAATCTGACTCACAGGCCAGGAGTCGTTCAGATTGACATTTGCGCTTCTTTGATGGAGCCCTGGCAACATTGCAGCGTTGCTATCTCGGTGTTCCAGATTGAACCGCGCTCGACCAGCACTTGATCTGTCGACGAGGACGGCAGATGACTATTCTCAGATCACGTCCGAATCTCTGGACCAACTGAACGACTATTTCACTACAATGCATGACGTTTGTTTGTGACGGTTGAACCACTATTTGTCAACCAAGCCGCCCCAGCTTCAGAAAAGCAATGTTTTTCACTAAACACCGTGAAATATAACACGTTCAGTTTCATGCTTGAGGATCCATTTAATCTAGGAAGTTGACAAGTATGTGGGAGTGGGGAAGAGGTGGTGGGAGGTAGGCGTCGTGTGAGTAGTCAGGTGATCACTATTAGCGAATTCTATGGAGCGAAACATGTGGTTGGGTCATTGCATGTGGCGCCCAACACAAGGAATTTCAAGAAAGAAAGAAAGAGCTTTTAATTTTCAGCAGTTTTTTCCTATTCCTTGTGTCACACACCTTTGACCCGTTTTATTACTTTATTGCCACGGCCTATCCCATTCCTAGAACTAATGAACTATGGAGAGAATAGTTTAACAGTCTCTTCGTGATCGTCTGTAGCCCGTAGGTCCATCAGATTTTTTATTAAGACATGCAAATATATGACTAAAATCCCACATGCAGAACGTGAAAAGAATTTCTAGCGTTTGATGCGGATTATTCACTATTTGTGAACGAACACAATTAGTACATCTATTATGCTTCAGCGTGAGTCCGAAGCATGTCATCTTGTGGTTTACCGTCTTACCATGACTGGGAGATGGTTCAATTTAGGAAGATTCAATCCCCTGTGACAGTTTCTAAAGCGGTATTCGACAAACCGTTTATTTTTTGTATGTGCGGAAGAAGAAGAACAACCAGCAGATTTTTATTTGTTGTTGGACTTTTTAACTTGTCTTCAGGGGACCGACTGAGGCTCGACCTCATCTAGATCACCTACTCAAATTTTTCCTATAGAACACGCAAGCTACTAATCCATTTGTTTTGCTCGTGATTCAGCAATAGATTGTTTAATCAAGTATCACTATGCTGAACATGAAGTGCTGGTCAGGCGATTTGTTAGAAAACAATCGCATTTCACTTCTAATTGCTACGTATATCAATGATATAGTGAAAATCCAAAACGTTAGGATTAATAAGAAAAGAAATAACTCGATGCGTTTCCTGCCACATATTTGAAAAGCTTCTAGCGATAGCTTTGGTTTTTAAGGGATCTCTTATCTAGATGACTTTAGTTGCCTTACTATTCAGAACGATGAACTTTTAGAGGTCACTTTGTTTGAATGCTACCAGCACATTGGCGATAGACATCATCGATTGGGAGGACGATCTGAGCCCTTCCATAGACCAGAGAAAACTCTGCCTTTGTGCGAGTATTAACCCGACTGAGGTTTGATAGTTTGAATTTAATTTTGATAATTAAACCTCTCCATTTTCATCATTGAAGAGCGGAATTAGGTTCTGGAAGTTTTTATTCCGTGTTGATTTGGTTGAATCAAAGTCAGTCAAAATCAATCTAATTCAAGGCTTATAAGGCTTAATGTTCAGACTCAAGAACAAGGCCAGCGTTCTCGGAAAACCAGTCAAGGCACTACATTCCCTTACCATACTCATCCAATAACTGAGGACTACGTTGTCTCTCATGAGGTAACACGCTTCTGGGGTTCATATCAGCATGTTTACTTAAGGTATTGGGCTTTTTCTGTCCACCAAATTTTAAGATAATCGGAATCGGCGAGTCTGGCAAAGTGATGGCGTGCTACAGTAAAGAGAAAAACGAGAAATTTGCTCTGAAAGTGCTTCGAGATGGACCGAAAGCTCGTCGTGAAATCGGACTTCACTATCTAACGAAGTAAATGAGCTGTAAAATATATTAATCTGTTACTTTGACAGCTGGTAATCGTTATAGGTGACCCAACTTATCGAAAATAGTCAGAAAGTAATCGAAATTTTTTTCTTCAGTCATTGTTAAAAACAAGTCTTTAATGTAATATTAGTACCAGTACTTAGGTATTTGGAAATGTATAAGCTTGGAAATTAACGGTTATTATCAATGTGGTAATAAGCGCCGTCCAGATTGATTAGGGTATGCTACATTACTTTGGTGCGTGCAGCGCAGTGCTCGGAGGCGCCCTGCAATACACACGGGGTCGATGCAAGCGTCCCAGGCTCACCAAGCTCTCTATCCCTTCAGAGTCGGCATATTGGTAGCAGACTTGTCTGGAAAGATAGCAGCACTGGCTCGATACAGCAGTAGGCCACCACGAGTCATTGTAAAGCCCAGATATGAACTCAGTTACCTCTACGATGCTAGGAATGAAGTCGAATGCATGACACATCCCTCAGGGATTGATAAACGCTGAGAGCTTTATCCCTATATTTTTTACATTGCTTTTCATCATGGATTGATAGAACAGGCCCTCGTGACTAATAAGTGTATGAATTGATTAGACTGTATATTTGAGATTATGTTGATGAACAAGAAATATACGATTTTTCGTTAAGATCTGATGAATTAAGTTTTATTCATACTAGACTCAAAATTTGTCAATGTCATGGGAATAGACTTGGGATGTTCTAATGTTCTTAATTACTACCACGGTATGGATTCATTTAGTGTTCATGAGAATGTGGTGACAATCCTGGATATCTACGAGAACACTTTCGACAACGTGAAGTGTTTGCTGATGGTCGTCGAATTCCTTGAAGGTGGTGACCTTCTTAGTCAGTTTGAGAAACAAGGCAGCACACCGTATTCGGAGAAAAGTAGGTTTTTTTCTAGCAATAGTTTTGCCTTATCATTGGTAAATAGGATGATACAGTTTAGAAATTACAAAACAAAGACATACTGAAACAACTGGATTCGACGTGTTTCCTGCGAAATTGTTCCGCAGGATGTATTTTACGCGAAGATTTAGGGTTCAGTGTAGATTAGTTTCCGTTCATACGCGAGAACAGCTTGGTCGACCTTGATTGATTCAGTTAATAGACACCAAATTTGGAACTAAGGTAGGAAGGGTATGGGGCCTCAATGGTGTAGTGTGTACCACGCGAGCTGCCATGGTTCTATCTGAGCCGTGTTCAAGTTTTGCGAATATCTCAGCATCGTTGTGGTTGCATTTTATGAAATACCCTACCGTAAAAAATTGCCGTAGGCAGTAAAGAAGTAAATGAAAGGTCAACGTTAAGATAAGGGTTATAACTTGGAGAAAGCAGAGTCAAAGCAGTAGTTTTGGGATGAAGTATATTTTTGGTCAGTGAAAAGACTTAAATATTGTCATAGTGAAGTTTACAGTACCAAGTACCATCCGAAAATGTTACAATTTTGTATGATCTGTTCTGGTTCAGAAGTTGGTGAGATTATTCGACAAATTGGATCTGCTGTACAGTACCTACACGACATGAACATTGCTCATCGAGATATCAAACTCGAAAACATTCTTTGCAGGTATGATCACGTTCAATGATTTTTAAATAATTGGATGGCTCGTCTTCACTGGTTATGCGAACCACAGCACATTCTCCATTTTTTCGGAGTTTTGCTTGTTTAGCGATTGATATCCGGAGTCTCGAGGCCAGCCAGACCAAAGTGTGCCTCAAGTCGTCATCACCACAGGCAGTCACCGCCCTATTGGATCAAGGGGAGACTTGCCACCATGCGACTAGTTTCATGCCAGGACAGCGGCGGATCCTGGTATTGGTTTACTCTAAGCTGGGTTTTCTGATAGAAACGCCGGACTCCTCAGCTTGGTCTCGTCCATCTTACTCTGAGTCCCTGCTAGGAGGATGAATCCCACCGCTCTACATCGCAACCTGCCACCCAGGAACACCTCCCAACAATGATGAGGCGGTAAATCGCTGGGAGGTTATTTCGAATAACATGTGACAATTTAGGCGTGTTTTTCAGCAGTACGGGTGATGACTGCGTGTACAAACTTGGAGACTACGGGTTTGCTAAACGTCCTGAACGCAATATGCTCATGGAGTCACCTTGTTGTACACCATTTTATGCGTTAGTATGTACTTCTTAGTATCAGATAACCTGCCATGTTATCAAACGTGAACTTTAGGCCTCCTGAGGTACTGAGTCGCGAACGCTACGACAAATCTTGCGACATGTGGTCGCTCGGCGTCGCCATGTACATACTGTGTGTTACCTAATCTCTTCTTCTTTGTTAATTATTGAAATGCTGGTACCTAGCGTCGTACTTTCTGAACATCTTACGACCATAAGTATCGTATCTGGTCGAGACTTGGTAAAACACCACGTTATGTGTGCTACAACCTCCTGTGAATATAAGTACTCAGACGTGTCCCTGATTGTTTAAGTAACCGTCCCACTTTAGATTTGAAAATAATTTAAAAATTATAAAGAACTGAGGTTTTTCGGCTGTTCGCACCAGACTAATGCTTCAATTGAGGGGCTTTTTGAGAGGGGACTAATGCTTTTTTAATTCTATTCTAGCAAAACAAGAATTTTTTTGTAAGTCTCCTAAGACGTTAGGTCAATGTTTGTCCAGAAAACCACGTACTTTCTGACCTGAACTTTTCTGTACTGTTGTTGAACGTATTCCTTTCACAGTTCCTGTTCCTCCAATACCAATTCTGTATATTACTGCATGGTATATAGGAGTTAAATGTCAGTAAAACTGAGCATCGTTAAGCTTTATGCAGGTTCATTGCACATAAAAAGGATACACGTAGGTGCCTTTGAACATTGGTAGGAGGTAGTGTACATGACGTTGTGTAGGAATCTTACAAAAACTAGAAACTTGAAGAAAAATGCCCGGATACGGTACTTTGATGTAGCGAGATGTTTATCTACCTGCCTAGTGGTTTACAGACTGTGCGGCTATCCGCCGTTCTACAGCATGAAAGGTCTTGCCTTATCGCCGGGCATGCGAAATCGGATAGCGAAGGGATACTACGCCTTTCCACCGGAGGAATGGGACCACGTGTCTCAATCCAGTAAGCGCACTAACACCCCCACACCACTATTCCCGCTCTAGTTCTCCTTAGCGCTAGCATGCGCCGCCCCGCGCCATACTTTGTATTGTGCCTGATTTTGAGCCGAGCAAACATGTGTCTTATCTTTATAATGCTCCGGCCAAATCAAGAGCATTGTACATGTACGACACGAAGCGACTCTTCTTTGAACATTTTGAGTTTGTTCCCTCTCTCTCTCTCTCTCTCTCTTTCTCTCTCTCTCTCTCTCTCCTTTTCACTATTGATCTTTCCTGTTAGACCAAATTTGAACCTGTGTCATTAGGATCTCCTAAAAATTTGTTACGTTATGAAAATTATGCGGAATGAATTCCAGCCAAAGATGACATTCGCTGTTTGCTTCGGACTGACCCATCGGAGAGAATGACTATACATAGTCTAATGAATACTTCACTAGTCACTGGGCAGAACCAACCTGAAGGAGTGCCGATTCCAGGCACTCACGAAGCAGAAGATGACAAAGTATGCAGCTCCATTTATTCTTCCAAATCCTTCGTTGTTTGTTCATCTGACTGCATAGCAATCTGCATGCAGTCTTCTCCTTTTTTTATGCCCGGTAATATTTCCTATAAATGTTATTACTTTTTAACACAACGAATCTCTTTTTTACTGGCCTTGTAAACAAATTAGACAATTAGAGAACTGGTTTTTTCAGGTTTCTCAGGATCCATTCATGATCCCACGAAGCGTACGATTCCTTCGTGAAGGTGTGCAAGCCCCACGACTGCACAGTATCCAGGTTTCATAGCACTTTCATTACTGTGAATACTTAAGGCCATGCAGCAGCCAACCACGATTTTCAGGAAGAGGTCAGTCGTGCACTGGAAACGATGCGCCTCGGAGGTGAATCGACTCCGTTGAGAAATTTTCATAATTCATGTAATAGTTTTATTGGACAGCGTACTGCTCACCTGAGTGTGCCGAAAATTCAGTGTTGATATGCAGAGTTCACACGAAATCGGACAGAGTCAATAGTTCACTTTTACTTACTCTCAGTTCACATTTGCCTCTCACCCTCCTTTATTTCCCTATATATATATATATAATTAGCGAATATATATATATATACAAATATATATGTATATATAGTCGTTAATACTATAAGTTTATATATCCACTTTTGTAAGATTTGCCATTGAACCAAGGGCTATCTAATGCTACGTAAATTGTTGGCTACCTAAAATGGTTTTAAGGTGATACTGATGCTCAGGAATGTTTGTGTTTTGTAGAGTTGTAGTCAATAACGCTCGGAAATTTTTGTATCTTCAGATATTAAGTTTTTGCATTTATATGGAACTCTTGACTTTTAAGACTAACCTCACTTTGTAAATATTTCATCGAGGTTTGTAAGTATCATTAGTTGAGTTTTTATTCTGAGAATGATTATAATTGGATGAAAAAATGTTGTGTCGTTTTCTTGTTCAGCAATCGCGAGGTTTTTAAACAGCATACATTTACTTCCATAGAGAAACACAATACAATACAACGCTAGCTGACGTTTCGGCAGTATCGCCTTCTTCAGAGCCTGGAAGGGTATGCTGATATACAATCTACTAGGCCAAACGCTTCAATAACACTTACAAAAAGACGAAAGACTCTTTGGTAATTACACGATCAACAACTTCTCGAAAAACCCACCGCTTTTTTCGTGACTTCCAATGAGGAAGTTTAGAACAGCTGATTATAGTCGCATGTGGTTGACGACTGCACCATCCCACATCAAAAATCGATGCGAACGTACGGGATCAGGTCGCGTATGACCTCCGGGCATTCGTCCCTGCTATTCATTGTAGGGTTTTTGGCATTGATCCAAAAAGCCTCTAGGAGTTTTCGCGCTGGTGTTTTGGACTCCTGTGCAAGGATACTGACTTTTACTTCAAAATCGTCTCCGTTATGCTTTTGTATCCTATGCGTGCCTAGTGGGATGCTTCGTCTTAGTTTTCGTTTGCCATCTAGGTGTTCTTTTATGCGGATACACAAAGGTCTGCCCGTTTCGCCAATATATTTATCTCAGCAATTGTTACACGAGATCAGGTATATCGTACCTGAACTCATGCAATCACCGTCCCTGCCGTAAGGGCAAATTACGCAATTTGTTGTTTCACACAGACGGTTATACAGGCGGTTGCGAACTAATTGGCGACGTAGAGTAGTCGGTGGTATTTCAACTATCGCTACCGATTCCTCTAGACCTGCCCTTCTTAAGCATCGTTTTATAGCTGCGCTTACTTCATCGCTTATAAAAGGCAGCACAAACGGGATTTTGTTTTGGCCAAGCGTTTCGCGTGGGCGCGTCGTTTTCCTTGTAAACTTATCTCGTGGGGTTACTATTTGTAGCCATTGGAGATGGCTATTTGCCGAGCCAGCTCGCGCGATTCTTCCTTTAGTCCCCTGGTAGTGTGCACAGAGGTGGCTGTTCGAAACATGTTTCTCACAATCGCCCTCTTTGTGTGTGAAGGGTGGGAAGAAAGGAAATGGACAAGTATGTTCTTGTTATTTGGCTTTCGATACCACTTTGTCAGGTA